CGTTATTCCTGCCTCAGTTCAACATAGCCCTCCCTAATCCTCCCTGGGTTTGCGCGGAGAATCTCGGCCCAATCTTCCCACACCATAACGACCATAAGCCAAACGTCGTTGCTTGGCCGGCACCCGGCTGTCAGGCGTATAAGCCTTTAAATCCGGGCGCCGGCCACGAGGCCAGCCCGTCCTTGCCGGAGGCCTTCGGTGGTAACCGAAAATTATAGGCGCTGCCACCCCTTCCGCCGACTCACCCCCGAACCACCCCCAGACCACCCCCCGACTGACGTCCCTGTAATTTACGGTGTATTTTGCTCGCGGTTTTCGGTGTTTCGGGCCCTTCGGCGGCAAGGGATTTCATCTTGGCGATGTTAAAAAACCTCGGTTTTTACGTGGGTTTGGGCTCCAGGAAGGGGCCCGGGGCGTAAGATTTAGCATCTTAAGATCGTTTCAACATAGATGGCCCAAACATGGCCCCAACATAGCTTCCAAGCGGGCTCAACATGGGCCAACATAGGCCGAACATAGGCCAACATAGGGCCAACATAGGCCAAAAACTGGCCCAACATGGACCCAACGTGTCCCAACATTCGCCCAAGATGGCCCAAGATGGCGCAACATCGGCCGGACGTCCTTGAACCCACCGGCAACAGAGGGCGAACGTAGGCTAACATAGGTTGACCGGTTGTCGTCCATTTCGCAGGAAGGATCCTTCCTTGCTTGGCCTCACATGGCTTCACATGACTTTTCGGCTTGGTTCGAGTGCGACGGCTCTCCCGACTTTCGGCTTCCTCTCAGAAGAAGCCAGGGAAGCCAGGGCAGTCAGCCCCCTCCCTTTGGGAGGATGCTGCCGGGATGCCCTAGGTCCCTCACCGACTCGCAAAGGTTTGCTTCTCGCAATTCCAATTGTATGTTTGGAGGGTTTGTTCGCGGTTTTGACGCGCAGGTGTGGCGGCGTGAGCGAAAGAAACATTGCATGGAAAGTGTGTGTTTGTGCCGGGGTGTCCCGCGCAGCGACGCTGTGGCGGGAGACAGTTTTTTCCACTGCAAGTCAAATGCTCGCGCTGTCACGGCTCTAGGTTGGCTATTGGCGACATTGTGTCCAGAAATATATTTTTTCCCGTTGTTCAAGTGCCGGGCTGTCCCGATCAGCTATGCTGTGGCGGGCTAGCATTTGTTACCCTTGCCAGCCAAATTGGATGGAGTTGTGGCGCGATTCTATATACTATGAAATATTTAAGGGCTGCCGCCCTGTTGGGTATTGGCTACGTTCGGTCTGGGAAAAAATGCTTCCCTGTCCCGATCAGCTATGCTGTGGCCGGCTAGCATTTGTTACCCTTGCTAGTCAAAGTTGAAAGGCGTTGTGGCGCGACTCTATATACTATGAAATCTGGCGCCGGCCACGGGGCCCGTGTCCTTGCCGGAGACCTTCGGTGGTAACCGAATCTTATAGGCGCTGCGCCCCCCTGCCGCCGACCCACTCCCGGTCGACTGAAGCCTACGTAATTTACGGTGTTTTGTGCTTGCGGTGTGAAAAAACATCGTCTTTACGGTGTTTCGGGCCCTTCAGCGGCAAGGGATTTCATCTTGGCGATGTTACAAAACCTTGGTTTTTTACGTGGTTTTAGGCTTGAGGAGGGGGCCCAGGGCCGAAAAATTGGCATCTTAAGGTCGTTTCAACATAGATGGCCCCAACACAGATGGCTCAACATGGGCCAACATAGGCCCAACATAGGGCCAACATGGTGCCAAGATTGCTTGGCCAGCGCCCTGCTGTCAGGCGTAAGCCTTTAAACAATCATACATCATCGGCGCATCATCATCTCCACGGGAACCAAGAGATTGGGAACGGCTAATTTTTTTAAAGTGCACAGGACTGCGATCGAGCCGTCTTGGATCGAACCTTTTGGTTTTTAAACACTTCAACAACTCTGAACATGGAGGCTTTATACTGTTAATTACATCTAATTACCGTGTCTTGTTGTTGTTTGTTGTTTCTGAGTTTGTTCGGAATGGGCCAAAATACGAACAGGAACACCAGCAAACGCGTGCCTCAAGATGGTAAAACAAATCATGCATGACATTGGTTTTCCACCGAACAACGTGTCTCTGCCGTGCTGTCTCTCTGAGAATTTTGGATTGGAAATTGATGGAAATTCTAAAACCTTGACGTGCAAAAACGCCGTTAAAAATTAGATTGATAAATACAGCAAATAAATGCAATTAACGCATTTAACCTATTTTGAATTTATAGGTTTATATATATATACATATAGAGATGTGCAAAAACTGGGCTGGTACGGCCTCAAATTTTCCATGGGGCCACCTGCTCATACAGGCAACCCTGAATTATGGAACATGGATCTGTTTATCTGTGCCTCTCCTTTACCAGCCATCTGGCTGTGTTTAGAATGTTTGGGGTTCAATGTCAAATTTGGTGCTTTTGTCTTTGGGAAAGTGTCCCTGTTAAGTGGGACCAGCCAGCCCGGAACGCTTCACTGATGTTTTCATGCATCTGAACACAAATGGCGTACCAGCTCACCCCTAGCCCCTTGAGGGGCTCATGCAGTTGGACCTTTCCTACAATGCCAAATTATTATACCTGCGCCCTGCGGCCAAGAAACTCGGTAATTCAAATCCAGAGGATACTTGATCCTCGAAGATAATGTACCCCACGCTTTCGGGCACCAGGTCAGCGGGACCTCTCACCAACAAGTCTGGAAGCACGCACCTAGTTACTCCTAGTCCTAGTTCTCGGGTCCTGTAGGCAATATGAAGTTGGGTTGGGCGGGGGGCTTCATAACTAGGTCGCTACGCGCTCACTCCACCAATTTTGTGATTGGTCTTTGGGATGAAGTCTGGGCACGTCGATAGCAGTGCCAAGGACGAACCTGTGAAGGTAGTTCTCATGGAGATCCCTGCTGCTGGTCTGTCATGTGTTCGTTTTCATCCTTTCTCCCCACCTCTAAAATAAAAAGTCTCTAGATTTTGCGCCAGCACTTTCTCATCCTCCTTCTCCGCCTCGCCTCCTCGCGGAGTCACATTACCTGTTACCGGACCGGACCAGACATCGATCTATGCCAAGCTCCTGGACACTCTGTTACGGGACTCTGGTGTGCCTCGGCATTTTCCCAGCAAATGTCCGCCTGAAGTGGCTCTTGCGACATGTTCATGTGCGTTTCGCCCGCGCAGGCTCGCACAAAGTCTGCGCCGTGGTTCTGGGCCGCGGCATTTTTCCAGTAAATTTCTGATAAAATGGCTCTTGTGACATGTTGATGCGCATTTCGACTGCGCAGGCTCGCAAAAAGGGTGGGCCGCGGCACTGGACCGCGGCATTTTTCCTGTAAATTTCCGTTCAAAATTGCTCTTGTGACATGTTTTGGGTTTGCTACTGCAACAGCAACGATATTCCTACGCTAGGTTTTTGCAGGCATGCCCACTGCGATCGAATTGGCCACGGCTCAACTGCGACTGCATTGTAACCAAGACTTGGAACGGATCCCTTTGAATAAGGTGCTTGATGGACTTTGGTCCGTCTTGATGTGGGCTTCAGGGCTTTCTGCTGAGATGAATTTTGAGCACATTTCCGCCAAACAGAAAGGCATGCACATTGGCACAGCTGCAGTTTTTATGGTTGCAGATTGCTTGCTGCGTTGCCACCTGAAACAACGAGTTTTAGCTTGCTTGGAGATTTCAATTGACTTTTTGCTGTCTTGGCTTTTCTTAGATGGGAAGAATTTTGGGAGAAAACCAGAGGGTGCTCTGCGAGCCCTTGCCGGGTTGTTTGTTGCCAACGGCATGGCGATCCTGAAGGGCAGGGCTAGGACCCAGCAAAGTCACCAGGTTGGCCAACTACTTTGCCCAGATCACCGTTCTATTTTCTGGCCCAAGAGTTTCCCAGAGCAAAGTTTGGCGCAAAGACGGCAGGCAATTGACCGATTTGTCCACTTGCAGCTTCTCGCTGTTCGGGCTCCCAACATTGATTTGGAAGCTTATGGGTGCAACTTGCAGAATTGTGCGGTCTTGTATCAGTGGCTTGGGCCTTCCAGGTATGTTGGGGTTGCTTCTTTGCAGCGTGCATCCCGGCCCGGCATGCCAGGGCCTGCTTTGCGTTGGTGGGAGCATCTGCTGCATTGGTCCAGGCGCAGCCTCAAAGGATCCCAGTTGAAGAAGTACGTTCTTTTTCGCAAAGCAAGTGGAAGCAACATGGGTTTCTTGATTTCAAGAGCTGGCCCTTCGACTTTGATGTATGCTGCTGAGCAGTTAGAGATTCGCTGCCACCAGCCTGCTGCGAATGGCTCAGGCAAAAAGCGTCTGACTTGCAACAAGCGTCCACGCCATAGACCTCCCCGATCTTGCAGGGGGTATGTGGGCCATCATTTGCGTGAAGGAACTTTTGAAGGTGGGGTCGCATCTGCTCAGTTTGAGAAGGCGCTGGCTCGAGTGTCTAGGGCACAGCAGTACAATGCCCATCGGGCTGAGCCTCAGGATTTGGTGCGAGCGCTGGGGATGGATTTCCGATCTGCCTACAGACATGTGCAGCAACATCGCTTTGCGCAATCTGGCGTTTTGGGTCCCCTCAACATTTACAGTCCTGGGCACTGGCGTTTATTGCTTTTATTTCTAGGATCCTTTGGTGCAAGTGTTCATTGGGCGTGCGTTGATAAGCATTGGCGTTCGCCATGTTCAGCAATCTTGCTTTGGAAGAAAGCGAAACTCTGGCTTGTCGGCCGAAGGCTCCAGTTGGCCCAGCAAAAGTTTGATGACTTGCTGCATTCTCGAAGGCTCCCTTCTACACGCGGCTTCACCATTACGGTGCCCCAGCGTTGCTTCATCCCGGCGGTGAAGTCAGCACTGCGGTTGGGCGTTGCCTCTCAACCGAGCTGGGACAAAATGATGCGGAACTACGTGGTGGAGAGTACTCGGATTGCAGTGGGAAAGGTGCGTACTTTTGCTGACAAGCAAAATTGCGCTCAACAAGCGCAAGTTTTTGACTGGGATGAAGTCCGGCAGTGCAGTGACTCAGAGTTGGCAGATGCGGTGCGTGCCACTGGCGCCCGGCGTGTAGAAACCAACTGGAGGGGGCCTATGCCATCTATGCGAGAAGATGACTTGTCTTCGGTCAAGCAGTGTTTGCGTGGGTGGTGCGGTGCCTTTCTTTCGCCAAAAGTGGCTAAGACGTGCCGTGGACATGCAGCGCGACAGCTGGAAGCAACAAGAGCGTGGAAGATGCATCGTCAACGCGTTGTGGCACTGACAGCAGAGCACGAGCACATTTTCTCCCAATTTTCCGCAGGCAAGCAAGAGGTGATTTGCCCAGATGACAAAATGAAACAGTACAAATGGATTGTGCCGAAGAAGACTTACTTCCTCATGATGGCCTTTTTTGTGTGCGTCTCTAGTGCATGGTGTGCTGTAGACATGTCTGTGGAGGAAGCGCAAGCGTGGTGTGTTGCCCTGCTGACAGCTTTTGTTCCAGCCAGGTTACGTCGACAATTTGGAGTGGTGCCAGGCAGATGGTTTCTTCCGTACTGCTACAACAGCATGAAGCCGAAGTGTTTTTCCAACGGTCGCCGCTCCTGTGAGAAACCAGGGCATTCGTGTATGCGCAGGATAGTGTCCTACGTCAAGTGGCCAGCTCGGCGCATGTGGCGGCAGGCTGGCAGGGCTTTGACTTTCATTCTGCAAATGACTATCTGCACTGATGAAATTTGGGCATTGAATACTGCCCGTCGTGATCTCGAGCGGAAGATGGCGCGCTTGCTTCCTGCCAGACAAGCAGGGCGGTGTGACCGCTGTCATGGTGCTTGTGCAGAAATCCAGGGAATTACTGCAGATGCGGGCCAGTTCTTTGAATGCGTGTCTGCCTTTGAAGCCTGCTCTGCGTTGGACGAAGTATTGACGTTGGCCCGGAAGAACGGCCATACAACTGTCACGGTCGTTGGCAGTCGTGTGGTGTTTTTTGGCGGCTGTATCTTCAGATCTTTGCGCAGATGCCGAGTTTTCTTCATGGAGGATCTTTATTGGCTATTTGCAGCAGCATGCTCCCTTCGGTTTGCATACACTGGTACGCAGGTATGGTCCTTTTCTGGACTCCCGATAGGGGGATTGTTGTCGAAGGTGGCCGCCTCGACAGTTCTTGGCTGGCAAGAGCATTGCTGGAATTTTGACCAAAACAGACGGCAGGTTGCTCAATTCTGGTGGGATGATCGGCTGTGGTCTCACTCTGTTGCTCGTGGGCGATATGTCGATGACCTCATTTGGTTCAGCAGGTCGCTTTGCACTGGGTGCCTTGAAGAAGGGGTGCAGCATGCTTACTCAGTGCCCTTTGAGGTCACCGTTCCTGGGAATAATGGTGTGCTGACTTGGCTTGATTTTTCTATTGTTTTGCCCTCTATGCGTTGGACAGCAAAGCGCAAGCAATTTGTGCCACCTATGCCATGGGCGGCTAGCAAAACCTACGCTTTCAGTGTGCTATCTGGGAGAGTCACTCGTTGGCAGGAGATGCAGCTGTTGCCTGAAGATTTGGCAGCGGCGATGGTGCAGTTGTTTTGTGATTTCTTGAGGGCAGGATGGAAAAAACAACACCTCCGCAGTGCAGTTTTTCGGGTTGCTCACCGCAAGCAACCCCTTACGGGCAAGTTGCTGGTGGCAGGTTTCCATGCTTGCTTCACGCCTTAAGTTTTGTGCTCAGTGTTTCATTCGCCTCCGCTGTTGCCAATAGACAGGGCCATGTCTTTTGCGATGCGGTGGTGGTGGATGCTCCTATTTGTCGGTTGTGCTTGTGCTGGCCGGCACAATGGTGGCAGAGGATACCGTGAACCCAGACAGCCAGACCAGGGCCAAGCCAGACACTCTGGTCAACCTCAAGTCGTGAGGCTTGAGGTGGCAGTGCGCGGCTCTGAGAAGGACTTTCACCATGATCGTGACAAGCGCCGACGTGGTGGCCACCGCAGTCAGCGCGATCTTGGTGCTGAGGATGTCAGACGAAGGAGCAAGGCCGCTGGGGACAAGGAGAAGAAAAGGAAGAAAAAGAAGAGATCTAGTTCTTCCTCTTCTTCTGCGTCTCCATCATCATCGTCGAGCTCCTCTGTGGCAAAAAAGAAACAGGCCAGGAAACAGGCAAAGAAAGCTGCTGAGCGTGCTCAAGCCAGTGAGGATAGGCTCATGGCAGAAATCCAGAAGCTCAAAAAAACTTTGAAGCCAAGTTCTGAGCCTGTTACTCCAGCTAAGCTACCTGCGACACGTGCCTGTGAGCAACTCACGCCAAAGGCCCAGTCTCATCTCAAGACCTTGCTGTCTTTCATGTCAGATGGAGAGGTGACGCCACTGGTGGATGTGGGAAAGGTGCATACATGGCATGATATCGAAGATCAGCTTAATGGAAAAACTTTGCCCGTCTTGAAGCAGTTTTTGTCTACCAGGATTCCAGAGCCTGAGATTCCAAGTAGGAAAGCTCCTGCTATCCAAAAAGTGCTGCAGCTGGCAAGGGATGCCTTGCCTTGCTGAAGGTGCCGGATGCAATGGCTGGCCTTGACGCTGGGAGTGGCTTTGGGTTTCCTGCTGTGCTGGTGCGTGTGTCCTTTGCACACGCCATGGGAATGCGGCAGCATGTGGCCCCCAGCGGCATGCAGTTTCTGGCGTTGGTGGAATGCTTGGTACATTTTGGCTGTCACAGAGCGGGATTTCACTGCTTTGATGGATGCTTTTACTGGCGCCCATCTCGTGTCCCAACTGAGCTTAGTGAGCGTGAGTGCGGTCTCACTAGTGGCGCTCAAGTTTGGCCAGCAGTTTTCCCATGCGGTTGAGGCTGTGTTGCAGTCTCGTAGGGTCCGTGGCAGTTTGCACCTCCAGTCATAAGCTGCATTGGTGTTATTTTTCTTGTCCCATTTTTTGTGCTGGTTACGTGATGGGAGCAGTGAAGCAGGAGCAAATTTGAATTTGCACTTGCTGAGGGTTTCCCTTGGATGTGATTCCACTTGATTTGTTTTTGAGTTTTTGGAAGAGTTGTTTCATGTCTTCTGGACGGAGTGTTGCGATGCCATACTTTTTCCATGTCTTGTCCTCCTGCCAACTAAGGTGCCAGAAGGTGGATCTTTTGAAGTGTTCTGGTTTTTCTTTTTGTTTGTTGGTTTTTCGATTGTTCTTGGGTGGGTTTTTATTTGATTGGACTTCACGGTCCTCCCTGTTTTGATTTGAGCTGAGCGAAGACAATGAAGTTTGACGGCGGTGTTTTTTGTTTGTCTTATTTTATTTGATTTTGATGTGGTTTCCACTTCGCATCTTTTGGCTGAATAGACCCAGGGTTCAGGCCGGCGCTCAAGCGGATTGTGCCGCGCACGCAATTGCGGGCTCGGGGTGAAAAAAGACTGCTATTGTGACATGTTGATGTGCATTCGTCTGCGCAGGCTCGCACAAAGTGTAGGCCGCGGTTCTGGGCCGCGGCATTTTTTCTTGTAAATTCCTGTGTAAAATGACTCTTGTGACTTGCTGATGTGCATTTCGACTGTGCAGGCTCGCACAAAGTGTGGGTCCCGCCTTTTGGCCTCAACATGATCATCCTCAACATCATCATCTTCCTCCTCCTTGACCTCATGACCCTCGACATCATCAACCTCCACCTCATCTTCCGCAACATCAACATTTATTATCTTCCTGTTCATCATGCTTTTCCACAATATCCTCCTCAACATCATAATCTTCCTCCTTCTCCGCATCATCATCCTCCACCTTGTCATCCTCCCCTTCATCTTCCGCATTTTCATCCTCATCCTCATCCTCCTCAACATCATCCTCCTGCACCTCATCCTCCTCCTGCACCTCATCATCCTCAACATCATCATCCTCAACATCATCGTCCGCGACATTATCATCCTCATCATCATCATAATCATCATCATCGTCATCATCGTCATCATCACCACCATCATCATCAACATTGTCATACATTAGGGGCCTCTTGCCCGGATAATTCATGCTCTGATATGTTGTTATGTCATGTTATGTCCGTGCTGCGCTGGGCTGTTAAATCTTCCTTTCCCGTCGAGTTTTCGTTTCTCCAAGACAACCACCCCCCTTGACTGTGCAGTAGGGGCCACTTTATTTCCCACTCCCACGCAGTCCAACCATGCCCCTGTTACAATGGCCAATCATGTCGACATTGCCGTTTGTGACCGCTTAGATCCATTTGCATATAAGCTTGCAAACCGGATACTGCTAAGGTTTCCTGATATTTGCAAATTATCCGAACTTCGGAAATTTCTGGAATCCAGACACATCCAGATCCCGGGCGCCTGCCACTGCGGTGCTTGACTCCAGGCTAACCTGCATCCCCTGCACACCCAGATTTTGGCATGCTGCAGTCAACCATGGCACCGACGGGGCTTGACTTGGCAAAGTGCGTTCTTCGTTGTTGGACGTCCTCGGAGCCAGCTCTAGAAACTGACCAGGTGCTGAGCGACAGAAAAAATTAAAAAGAAACCTCATGCGTTAATGTGTACATGTACATCTCTATCCAAGTTCCAGCGCCGGCCTGGGCCTGGGTCTGAATAATTACGAAACACTGTTGTTCATGCTTGCTTTGATACTTTTCATTCTGAAAATTTGCATGTTTTTCATGTTTTTGTTTTTGGGGTTGTTTTAGACCTGCGCTGTTACCGGAGGTGCAGGTTTTGTTGCTTTTTGCTGGTTGACATGAGGCTTGATGTTGCTGACGGGGAGTGGGAAGGCGGTGTGTGGGGGTTGGAGGGGTGGGGGGAGGCCAATAACGCTCCATGTCTGTGCTACGCTAGTGATCTTTGTTTCCACATTTGCAACCAGAAGTGATGCAAAGAAAAATTGGCGGAACGCAGTTCGCAAAACACATGTTACAACTCTAACTTTGGAGTAATAGGTTTCCCCCTGTAATTCAAAGATGAATGAACGATCTTACTATCCCAACGTGGGACAAAATCACCATTCCAATCAAGTGGCGAATGGTAAAAACCGTCACGAAACCACAGTTTTCGGCATATGTATCAAAATCAACAAAAAACTAAGTCACAGTCGTTATAAACAACAGGGCCGCCGTTGGTGCCGGTACCTTGTTTAAGTTTTCATTTCGGGAAGTAGTTGCCTGGACACCTGGCAAAGTAATTTGGAAACTGAGTTTCCACATTTGACATCATTTGATTTAAAAAAAAAAATCGACATGATGAAAGAAAAAAGGAAACACACACTCAGGAAACAACACTATTTTGACCAGATTTGCAACATAAAAAATGCATGTCTTAAAGTTTGTCCACATTTGCGACATGAAAAACAGGTTTCAAAAAAATGTGCTTTCAGCATCTTTGGACCATGCGGAATGAAAAAGAACATGAACTTTCAGCTTTGCTAAGATTTGCAGAATAGAAAGAAACAGCCAAATCAAAAACATCCCGGCGGGTGGGAAACCGCGCTAGCGGTTAAGCACGTTTTGAAAATAAACTCTCTTGACGCTGTGGCGCCGTACACATTTTTAGACCAACATTACCCTAACTTGCCCTAAATTTTCCCGGGGAAAATTAAATCACTTTGAAGGAACGACGTGGTATTTACAGGGGTTGTGCCCCTGGGATTGTGGTCGCTTTTTACTTCTGCTCTGGACGTCTCGCTTTTCCAAGCGTTTGCTTAGAGCGTGACCGGTGAGACCCATGAAGTCTTTGCAATTTCCATGGTGCCATCGCCGCTGCCAAATTCGAATTCCTTGAAGCAATTGAAGATTAACAGCCTCACCTTTGCGTGCGCTCCAAGAAGCTGACACTGCAGCTTTGGAAATTTTCCACATACCATCGATGCCACCAGTGTGCACCAGCAACGTACATCTCAACGTATTATGAACCTGAGACACAAAATATTCACATCTAAGGGTGGGAACCACGTGTGACAGAGAAAGTAATATATCATACATATATATATATATTTATTTATTTATTTCTTTATTTATTTATTCGCCTGTTTCATACAAGGTAATAGCCACCCCACCCAAACCCAAACCAATGACGTAGCAGCAGCGTGGCATCACGCGTGTACGCAAGTCACATGAACGTTATTGCACCACCCCACCCCACCCTATGACCTAGCAGCAGCGTAACATCACGTGTGTACGCAAGTCACATGAACGTTATTGCCCCACCCCACCCCACCCAAACCCCAACCAATGCAGCAGCGTAGCATCACGTGTGTACGCAAGTCACATGAACGTTTTTACCCCGCCCCACCTCACCCAATGACGTAGCAGCAGCGTAGCACCACCTGTGCACGCGTGTCACATGAACGTTATTACCCCACCCCACCCAAACCCCAACCAATGACGTAGCAGCAGCGTAGCATCACGTGTGTACACAAGTCACATGAACGTTATTATCCCACCCCACCCCACACAAACCTCAACCAATGACGTAGCAGCAGCGTAGCATCACGTGTGCACGCAAGTCCATGAACGCTATTACCCCACCCCACCCCACCCAAACCCCAACCAATGACGTAGCAGCAGCGTAACATCACGTGTGTACGCAAGTCACATGACGTTTTTACCCCACCCCACCCCATCCAACCCCCATATTGAAAAAGTAGCACGACTGCACGCGCGGTTTGCCACCCGCTAGCAAAACAGTGAACTTCATGGTCTTTTTACTTGTTGTTTTTTTTAAACGTCACTTCTGCATCTCAGCACCGCCTTGGAGCTGTGAAGCGTTTTCCAACGGATCACAGACTCCAACCACCAAAAGAAGGAGACATGAAAATGAATTACACCAGAGGGATTTAGAGGCCAACAGCACAGCAGAAGCCAAAATGGACGGTCGAAAGTAAAAGGATAAAAGTAAGAGGATGAGGTAGTTGGAGCTACTTGTTGAACATTAGCAGCAGTCAAAATGGACAATTAGAGTTATTTCGAAGTTGTCTCAGAGCCAGGCTGTGAAGGAGCTTGCAATTTCATCCATCTATCGATCGGTCTATCACCTCTCTCTCTCTCTCTCCCTCTTTCTCCCTGCATTTCAAGTCCCAGTAGCTGGGGCCACTGGCCTCTGTATCAGCAATTTTCCATGCCAAGATGGGTAAAGAGAATGCGCACTCTGAGAACAGCGTTTTTTTTGTTGTTGTTATATACGTGCCAGTAAATCACTATCAGTTAATCAGTTCGTGCTTCCACCCACCGCCAAGGGTCTGAATTTGTACCAAGACCGCAGGTGTTTGGGTGAAGTCGTGCAAAAAGGTGACGTCCGTCCATCCTCCGGAGCCACAATAGCCATGGTAGCCATGGTAGCCATGGTAGCCATGGTAGCCATCAGAGGTCCATTGGCATTGGGGCTTAAACGGCACCAAGCATCCTTTGTTTGGCCAGCTCAGAGGTCTGCAGTTCGCGGCTACCCTTTCTGAGGTGTCCACACGTCCTGCAAATCCGGCCGATCCCAGGGAGGCAACCATACCCTATCCCACGTGCTGAACCTTGCTGCCTCCTGCTCATGGTTGCCACTGAGTGTGACTGAGCGCAAGCCAGTATCAATCGATTTATGGGCCGATGGATGGATGGGTCGGGTGATGGTTGCTTGGACACATGGACAAACGATGACAAATGTGGGGGGATGGGAATGGGAACGAGGGCGGATGCCATGAGATGGGTGCAGTTGCACTAGAGGTGCACTTGGACCAGGTAATGACACTCTGATGTCGGGCATGCATTCGGCTGCTACGTGAATGAAGAAACAAAGAGAAGAACGAAACCTAATCGGAACACTTGCCCGCAATCACAGTAGACGGGAATGGTATGAACTTTACAAACCGAAAGTACAAGTTGGGATTAATTATGATCCCCAAACTACGGCTTATAGGCAACACACCTTCCGGTCCAAGGTTTTCTGTGTCCAGCAACCCACCTGATTTCGGTAGCTTCGGTGGTACAGCTGGGATAATTAGGTGCCCTTCCCTCTGCTGATATGCGTGCGTATATGTAAACAAGAAAGGACAGAAGGAATTGAGGGCCGACACAAAGAGCAAAAATGTATAGTTCTATAATGCTATGTATATATCTATATACACATATAGTTGTACGTATATATGGTTGGAAATGAACTATTGACAGGTGTCGTACTCGCCTCGAGGGTACCCTAGTAAAACAATCTGACAGCAAGAGAGATCCAGTTGACTTGGAAGGACATGATCTAGTCAAATTAAAGACTGATGAGCGATCCTGAAACATCAATGCATGCGTATATCATCACGCATATCATATCATATATATATATGCTTAAGTCCCAAGTGTTGGTGAACAAAAGCTAAACGGGCAAGGTGAAGTGAGAGAGGTGGAACTATTTTTTTCTTGCTTTCATGGAGTGACTCGGTGGAATCAGGTGGCGTGGGTTTGGTGGCCTGGGTTGTGTGGGTTCGGGGTGGGAGGAGGTCGGAGGATTAACCCCTGCTCATCTGCTTCCAAGATGTGACATTGACGGGGGAGAAGCCTAAGATATATATATATAGTTTAGATATGCTTAGATTAGTTTAGCATGTGAATGTGCGGCTTAGGCCAGGGATAGCTGAGTGATATAGCTCGTAATTGTGCGACTTATGTAGTAATGCAACTACATAGCTTGAGCGGGTATTGGTTCTTATAGACGCTAAGGATGTAATAGGTGTCGCTCAAGAAGAAAGTGTAGTGTATGAGCGGATATGAGAACCTGAAGTTGGCTGGGTTATTTTAAGGAAATGGATGGCTAAAGGTTATCTACCAGTAGTACCGCACAAGGCGGTGGCGGAAGTTTCAAAAATAGGAAACCTACAGGAGAGGTTGGTTGTTGTGAATTGCGGATGGCAGAGCAAATCCACTGATGGACCGAAAGGTGGTTCGAGTTGCGTTTTTTGGAGTGGCTGCAATGGTTAAAGTGGTCACCTCACCCACAACTGCTGGATGTAGTGTGGTGCAGCGCAGTTGTAGCTGTAGCCGTAGTGTAGCGGAGTTGTAGTTGTAGCGTAGTGTAGTTAGTGTAGTGTTGTTGCAGCTGTAGTTGTAAAGTAGTGTAGTGTAGCGTACTGTACTGTAGTGTACTGTCTGTTGTGTAGTGTAGTCTAGTGTAGTGTGCGTGTGTGTGACGTAGTGTAGTTGTAGTTGTAGTGTAGTGTCGTATAGTTGTAGTTGTAGTGTAGTGTAGTGCCATTAGTGTAGTGTAGTGTAATGTGCAGTTGTAGTTGTAATAATAGTAGTAGTAGTAGTAGCAGTAGTAGTAGTATAGTAGTGGTAGTGGTAGTGGTAGTGATAGTGGTAGTGGGAGTAGGAGTAGGAATAGGAGTAGGAGTAGCAGTAGCATTAGCAGTAGTAGTAGCAGCAGCAGTAGTTGTTGTCGTTGCCGTTGTCGTTGTAATGTAGTGTAGTTAACCTCCGATTAGCGTCATGGCGCCCTATTGTGAAATGTTTTCCCTTCCTAATTGGGCGTCTTGCCGTTTGTGGGGGGGGCCTCTATAGTGAGAAGTTGTTTCTCAGATCCATTTTTTTCAGGAGGAAAAAAATGGCTCAAGAAGAAATGATTAGTTAATTACACTTGTTTATTTCCACACCTGGTCCATTTACGTTAGAAAAACCATACCATGTTAAAGCCTTATTGAACCCTTACTTAAAAAAGCACCCAAACCATTTTTCAAGAGGGTACCCCATGAGTGACCCAGATCCTCAAACATGTAATTGTTTGATGGCACCCTTTTGTGCACATAAACTTTTGGGGCAATCGCTTTTGGATTTAAAAGGAAAATAAATTGAAAGTAGATTGAAATAAATTGAAAGTAAGTTCATTTCAAGTGAAACCCTTTCTTATCAATAGATTTTTTGAGGCTGAAAGAAAGTAGGTTCAGTTGAATTGAAACAAATTGATTTCAATTGAAATCCTTTCTTATCAATATATTTTTGGAAGTTCAAAAGGAAAAGCCACTGAAAGTAGAAAGCATCAATATATTGTTGAAGTTTAAGAAGGGAAATCAAGCGAAGTAGATCCAAACGAATTGAAAGTAATTTGGTTTCAATTGAAATCACTTCTTATCAATGTCTTGGAGGCTTAAAAGGAAAATCAGTTGAAAGTAGGTTGAAATGAATTGAAAGTAAATTGATTTCAAGTGAAACCCTTTCTTATCAATAGGTTTCTTTGATGGCTAAAAGGAAAATCAATTGAAAGTAGATTCAAATAAATGAACTGAAAGTAAATTGATTCAATTGATTTCAATTGAAACCCTTTCTTATCAATAGATTTCTTTCAGGTTTAAAAAGAAAATCAATTGAAAGTAGATTGGTGTCAATTGAAATCCTAACTTAAGTTGACTATCCTAAAAATTGTTGAGGGGGGGC